TTTTATGGTTGAATAGTATTCCATAGTGTACAGATTACCACAGTTTATTGATCCATTCATGAGTCGATGGGCAGTTAGGTTGATTGTGAATTGAGCTGCAGACAACATTGTGGTGCAAATGTCCTTACGGTTAAATGATTTTTTTTCTTCTGAGTAGATGGCTAGTAATAGGATCACGGGATCAAACAGAAGGTTTACTTTTAGCTCTTTGAGGATTCTCTTTTTTTTTTTTTTTTTTTTTTTTTTTTTTTTTGAGACAGAGCCTCAAGCTGTCCCCCTGGGTAGAGTGCCGTGGCATTACAGCTCACAGCAACCTCCAACTCCTGGGCTCAAGCGAGTCTCCTGCCTCCGCCTCCCAAGTAGCTGGGACCACAGGCGCCCGCCACAACGCCCGGCTATTTTTTGGTTGCAGCCATCATCGTTGTTTGGCGGGTCTGGGCTGGGGATTCGAACCCGACAGCTTAGGTGTACGTGGCTGGCGCCTTAGCCGGTTGAGCTATAGGCGCCGAGCCATCTGTATTTCTTTCCATAGAGGCTGTATTAGTTTGTAATTCCACCAATAGTGTAAAAGTGTTCCCTTCTCTCTACATCCATGCCAGCACCTACAGCTTTAGGACTTTGTGATGTGGGCTATTCTTACTGGGGTTAGGTGATACCTCAGGTGGTTTTGATTGCATTTCTCTGATGATTAGGAACAATGAGCATTTTTTCATGTGTTTGTGGGCCATTTGTCTGTCTTCTTCAGAGAAGTTTCTGTTCAAGTCTCTTACGCACTTATAAATGGGATTGTTTGCTCTTATTGATTAGTTTTAGTTCTCTATAGATTCTAGTTATCAGCAGTCCTTTGTCAGTTTAGTAGCATGGGAATATCTTCTCCCATTCTGAAGGTTGTCTGTTTGCTTTAGTTGTTTTACTATTTTAGCTATGCAGGAGCTTTTTAGTTTGATCATGTCCTATTCATTTATTTTTGGCATTGGTGTAATCACCAAGGGGGCCATCTTCATGCTCATGACTGGGAAGAATCAACATTGTTAAAAGTTCATACCAACCAAAGTGATCTACAGATTTAATGCAATCCCCATTAAAGTGCCAATGTCATACTTTGAAGAACTTGAGAAAAAGTATTTCATTTCGTATGGTACCAGAAAAAACTTTGAATAGCCAATCCAATTCTAAGAAATAAAAACAAATCTGGAGGCATCACCTTACTAGACTTCAGGTTATACTACAAGTTTGCAGTGATCAAAACCACATGGTACTGGCACAAAAAAAAAGAGAGATACAGATCTATGTAATAGAATAGAGAACCTAGAGATGAACCCAGCCATGTATAGCCATCTGATCTTTGATAAACCAAACAAAAGCATACACTGGGGGAAGGAATCCCTGTGTAATAATTGGAGGTGGGAGAACTGCTTAGCCTCATGTAAAAGAAACTGAGACTGGACCTGCATCTTTCATCACTTACAAAAATTGACTTTTGCTGGATAAAAGATTTAAGTTTAAGACACAAAAATAAAAATTTTAGAAGAAAGTATGGGAAAACTTTTTTTTTTTTAGACAGACTCTCACTGAGTCACTCCAGAGTTGAGTGCCATGCATCATAGCTCATAACAACCTCAAACTCTTGGGATCAAACAATCTTCTTGTCTCAGCCTCCCAGTAGCTGGAACTACAGGCACCTGCCACAACGCCCAGCTAGTTTTTCTATTTTTAGTGGAGACTGGGGTCTCCCTCTTGTTCAGGCTGGTCTCAAACTCCTGAGCTCAGGAGGTCCACCCACTTCAGCCTCCCAGAGTGCTAGAATTATAGGTGTGAACCAATTTGCCCAGCCAGGAAAACTTCTTAACAACATTGGCCTGGGAAAAGATTTTATGAAGAAGATCTTGTCATATTCTTATCAGCCCTCATTTATGAAGTTCCTGGTCAAGAGTCAGTGACCATTTAAAGGTGACTTGTTTATCCTTTTATTATTGATTTGTGGGAGTTCATTAAATATCTTTTGTCAGACATGAGAGGACTTTAAAATGGAAAATGGAATTAAAAGATAAAAATAAAAATATATAAATGTTGTTTCTCAACGCAAACTCCATCAAGTTCAAGACACCTTTATAAGTGATGACTACCAGCCATTTAGTCCATCCTAAAGAATTGAGCGTCCTGGGAATTGAACATTGTCAATGCAGTCTTTTTTACATTATTAACTAAAGAAAAGTGGGGCTCTTTATAGAGTGTTTTTTTGATTTTTTTTTTTTTGCAGTTTTTGGCCAGGGCTGGGTTTGAACCCACCACCTGTGGCATATGGGGCCAGTGCCCTACTCCTTTGAGCCACAGGCTCTACCCTAGATTTTTTTTTTTTTTTAAGATCAGTAACAAAAAGAAATCAGAATGAACCAAATTGAAACTATTGTAGAATTTCCCTTGTTTGATAAGAGGAATGAGCAAAAGCATTGTTGTGGTGGAGAAGGAATGTCTGGTGAAGCTTTCCTGGACTAACTTTCTCAAACCATTCTCATAATAATATTTTGGTGTTCTCTGGCCCTTCAAAAAGTCAACAAGCAAAATGCCTTAAATACCAAAATAACTGTTGCCATGACCTTTGCTCTTCACTGGACCACTTCCACGTCCTGAGAGCCATTACTTTGTCTTCAAGATCGTACTCAGAAAGACATGTTTCACAGCCTGTTACAATTCTTTGAAGAAATACTTCAAGATATTGATCCCACTTGTTTAAAATTCCCGTTGAAATCTCTGCTTTTGTTTGCAGCTGATCTGGATGGGATGGTTTTGGCACCCATTGATGGAGTGGGAATTTTCCTCAACTTTAATTTCCCAGTTAGAATTGTGTAAGCTGAACCAGTTGAAATGTATGTGGTATTGGTTATTGTTTCTGCTGGTGATCTTTGATCCTCTTCAATGAGAATGTAAACAAAATTAATTTTTCCTCAGAAATCAACATGCATGGTCCACAGTTATGGGCTTCATCTTCATCCATCTTGTCCCTTCTTAAAACAGGTCATCCATTTTTAAAGTGCTGTTTTCTTTGGGGCATCATCCTTATCAGCTTTTCATTAAGCACTAATGATTTCATTATTCTTCCACCCTGCCTTCACCAGAAATTTGATGTTCTTGCTTCAATTTTAGCACGATTCATGTTACTTTTCAAATTGATGTCTTATCCTTCTTAATACCTCAAAGTAGATCCTATTCAGACATTTATAATTAGTGTGAGTTTATTTTGGTCCAAAATTTTTTTTGAAATTCATCCATAGATTTTTCATAATACACATTTTCCATGAACTTTTAGAAATTACCTCATATATATAATATGGACATGTTCAACCAACCTGTGGTTTGTTTTTTCACTTTCCTAACGGTGATAGTGAAATGGCAGAAGTTTTAATTTTGTTTTTTCTAAAAGCCTCGTAGTTTTAGCTTTTGCATTCAGTCCTGTGAACCATCTCAGGTTTACTTTGGGGTGTAGTTTGATGTAGAGGCCAATGTGTCCTTTTCCTATCTGCATATCTAGTGGTTCCAGCACCTTCTTTTGAATTGCATATTTGTCAAGTGATCATATGTGTAGGCCTCTTTCTGCATTTACTGTTTTATTCCCTTTAGCCACGCCCTTATGTTGATACCACTCTCCTGAGGACCAAAGTTCTAGTACATTTACATTTGGTAGGGTAAGCCAAGTGTTGAACTTATTCAATAATTTCTTGATTTGGAGGGGGATCCTTAATATTTGCATATATGTTTTAGGTACAGCCTGTCACTTTCTAGAAGATAACCCACTGGGATTTTTATTGGGAGTTGATTGAGTGAACCTGGGCATGTTAACGATACTGACTGTTCCTATGAACATGGTATCTCTGTTTATTTACATCTTTTTTATTTCTCTTCAAAGTAAAGATGTTACACATCTTTCATTAAATTTATCTCTAGGTAGTTGATGTTTTTAAATGCTATTATAAATTGCACAGTTCTTGAAATTTCATTTTCCAATTGTATGTTGTGGCTTTTTTCCTTGTATCCTGTAATCTTGCTGTTAGCAATTGGTATGTCCACTCGTGTGGGTTTTCTCCATACTCAGTCTCATATCCTCAAATAGGGACAGTTTCCTTTCCTCTTTCCAGTCTGTACCTTTTATTCCTTTTCTTCCCTCAAAGAGTTGACTAAAAGCCTGGAGGAGCATTGCGGGAGGCACTTGTCATTTCACCAACAGCGGGGACTTGGCTGTCGTTCTGTGGAAGCCTTTGGCAGGTGGAGGAGGCTCCCTGCTAGCCACTCACTGGCTGCTGAACAAGCTTTAGGTGCAGGGTTGTGAAAATCACTGAGTGCCCTCCCTGTGTCTGTGGAGGGAAGTATAGTGATTCCCAACTGGACAGCAGCCTCACCTTCCTATGATAAATCCCATCTGATTGTGATGTTTTATCTTTTCTATACGTAGTTGCTGGATTAGATTAGCATTTTGCTGAGGGCAATTGAAGGCTGTTGGTCTGCCATCTTTCCTGTAGCAGCCTCATCAGATTTCTTTATCAGGCTGTGAGGTCTTGCTGGCTGGAGCGTGACAGCTGCCTTGCCATTGCCTCCCTGCACTTTTGCTTTGCCCAGGGTCTGGGGCACTCACTTCCTCCCAGCACCTGGGCAGTTCCCGTGTCCCATAATGACACTGCCTAGGCAAGAAGGAGGCCCTTTGCGTTGGCTGGGTGGAGCCCAGCCCTTCAGGTCCTGCTCCAAGGCAGGTTTTGGCCAGTGGACAGCTCAGGCATATAGCCTATAAGTAGCCAGGCCACTGCTTTGGGAAGCAAGTGAGGGAGAGTAGTGCTTCCTACCCTGCACTGTCATTTGGATATTAGCCCTTAGAGGTGCCCATCCAGGACAAGTCCCAGGACCACCGTTGCCTGAGGGGGAAGAACCTGTGGTGATCCCAGGGCCCACTAGGGGAGGCCAGCTGACTGCAGCCGCATGTAGCTTCCTCTTCTTGTCTTTGTGTCTCTTAGATGACTGCACCTCAAGCAGGAGTGGGGATGCCGTGTCTGGCCCCAGCACCCAGCCCTCTGTCCTCCACAGTCATTCCTGGAGCCTTCCCGGCCCTGCCCGTGCCCACAGCAGGTACTGCCCTTCCTAGCCTCCCAGCCCCACCCTGTGCACTGTCTCTGGGTCAGTACGGAGGCCTGCTCCCAGCCTCAGTGTCCTGGGGGTCTTGGGCAGCCCAGGTGGGCCAGCCAGGGACACAGGGCAACTGGAACCCTGCCCAGGTGCCAGTGCTGCCCACGTTCTTGCGGCCGCCAGCAGTCAGCATGCCCAGCCCCCGGCTACAAATCACATAGCCTTCTTCCCTGCCCCTTGCCAGACGGAGCACTCTGAACCGCTGAGAGGAATCGGGAGTGGTTTGGCCTCTGACCCCTCCCCGCCTGTGTGAGCACAGTGCCCGCTGCAAAGGGAGCAGCACATGGGCTGTATGACTGGCTTCCTTTATGGCTTCAGACCCCATTAGCTTGTAGGTTCCCCAGGGTCTATGGGCGCTGTCTTCACACTCACTTCTTGTACTTGAGTCAATGGGTAGAACCTTGTCATCACCCTGCTGAAGCACAGTGCCTTGAATTCCAGCTTTTTTGTCCCCAATGAAAAGAGATGTCAAAAAAATCGTTTATCTGAAAAGGTGTATTTCATTTGCAGTGGGCTTGTGCATTGATAATCTTTATTCACTGTTTTAATTTGCGGAGATGTGAATGGTTTACAAATCTGAAACTGAAGTTTGATCTTTGGTTTTCTGTTGTAAATGCCTTTTTAAAAAATTGATTACAAACCTTAAATACTGAAGAGCTTAAGATGGTAGATGGGCCCTGCTTTGTCTTCAATAAAGCACTCTCCCTGAGCTCATTCAAGACTGGGAGATGACACACGGACACTTGGACAGGACATGTGTGCAGTAGTGGGTCTCTCAATGAGGAAGGCCAGCAGCTTTGTTTGGCCATAACGAACCTGTCAGAAAATGCTAGATTAGCAAACAGGCCACAGTAGCTGACTGGCTATTCTGAGGATGGATAAGGGTGTGTGTTAGGTGCAGAGACTCTGCTGTCCCCTGCAAAGACAAGCACAGCCCCTTCAGCCAGCGTCACCCACTGTCCTGCCACTTTCCTTTCTATTCCATGATTTTCACAGAGGCCTGTGGCTCTGCCCAGCCCTGGCCTGCAGAATGCTCTGTTTGCTACCCTGAGGCTTGTCTGCTGAGGGCAAGGTCATTCTTTTCCTAGAGATTTCCGTGGGCCTCATCCCGGCAGGCATAGCACAGCCCCTCAGTGGGCTGCTCTGCTGTGAATGGTATAGTTTCTGTACTTATTAGAACTGGCTAAATTATTTTGATTTAAATATGTTACTCCATCAATTCAGTTAGAATTGAATTTTCTAGGTGATTATGCAGAATCTTCTGCCAGAGCACGATGCTGTCGTAAGAGATTTCTGTTCTCTGTAATGGGCCCCCTTGCCCTGTTTCCTGAGTGAAATGGAGGCTGCTGTCTCCTGTTTACCCTCTTGCCTGTTAGTCCTTTCCTTGTATATGACTGTCAGTGGCACAGAATCCCAAGAAACTGTATATATATGAAGGCGAAAATAAACATTTTTGCTCGAAAACAGTGTGAAACAACATCTTTTTCTTACCCTCTTTCCATGTAGAAGCCACACTAGCCAACCCTGTAGGGAGGTCAGGAGCAGGAGCCCTAAGCAGGCCTGTCCTGGGCTCAGCTTTGCCCACATCTCTGGAAGAGGGCACCAAGATGCCTGGGATTGTTGAAGGACAAGCTGGACTGTACCAGACATGGGGGACTGAGGACGGGGTGTCCAGTGGGACTGCCTGTCCTCTAGCACTTAACCTGCTGGGTGGGCTTGGCCTTGAGCATGGCTGGGCTCTGCTGGCTCCTATGAACTTCTAACCACTCTGTACTGGAAAGTCTTCTAGGAGTGCGGTGGGGAGCCCACAATGGAAGAAGGGGTCTCATGGTCAATGAAACAGCATGTCCAACCCCTGTCCACGTGGCCATTTCCCAGCTAGCGTAATTCGTGGTGGCTCCCAGGGCTGCCCACTTTGCTCGAGGAGGGCCTACCTCAGGGGAGCTTGGGACTCTGCTGTTAGGCTCTCAGACTCTCAGACTCTTGGGCTTGTCGAGAGGAGGGCTTGGGACTGGTGGGTCATGTAAGGGGTGCTGGCGTTCCTGGCAGGCATAGGAGCTTTAGAGAAGGTGGGGGTTGGGGAGAGGACCTGCCTTGTGGTGACTCAGCACTTGGTCCCAGCCAGCTCCCCAGGCCCTGTGACAGCCTCACACTGAGTGGCTTTCCCTCTTGTCTGCAAATCACAGGCCTGACTCTGACCTTGACCTCACTCAGTGAGGGTCAAGATATCTCCTGCTGGGTTCCCTGGCGTGACCTGGTCACCTTGGCTGCTTTGCCACCTCTCCACAGAGCACAGCATCAGGCTGCATGCTGCTGCATTGAGGGAGGAAGGACAATCGTTCCAGAATGAGTGCAGACCCCTCAGCTGCATTTCAGCTGTGCCTGGGGCCAGCTGGCTCCCTAGAAGCTCTGGGCTGCGAAGGAGCTAAAGGGCCCATCTGGGTTCTGGGCAGTTGTTCACTGTGCTTCCTGATCACACAGAGGAGGATGGCCTGGATGACAGAGGCTGTTAGGGCTGTGCAGAGGTCAGACTGTCTGCACAGGGCCCGGCTGGCCCTTCTCTGGCTTTCCCCACTCACCTTCATTTCAGAACTCCCGGGAGGGCCGCGGCGGGCCTGTAATGGGCTGTGGCGGTTTTGTTTTCCAGATCCTGAGAGTGAGAAGCCCGACTGACCCTGCCCAGACGCCAGGCCCCGTATCACGCCGTCAAAGTGGAGAAGTGACAGGACCCTCAGGGCCAGCCTGCTCCTCCTGTCCAGTTCACGCTGTTTTGTAACCACTTTCTAAGCATTTTGTATTCACAATTGGAAACACAAATATAACACAAGAATAAAAAAATATTTTGGGGGAGAAAGGACTTTGGATTTTCAAACTCCTTCTCCTTTTTGGAGGCCCTCAGACAGGCAGATGACTTAGATGTGATGGGGTAGGGGACATTCCCGGGAACCAGGCAGTGTAGCCCAATTCTCTGTAGGGCCTTGGAGGTGGCAGACCCTGGGAGGCTGATCTCCAAGTCCTCCCACCCCAGCCCACACAGCCTCAGGGTCCCTGGGTGACTTCTGGAGAGAAGTCACACAGCTCCAATGTGGCATGGAGTCTACCACCACCCCTCTTGCCCCCCAAGGGCACAGGGCCAGTCAGCATCTACAGGAGACCTGAAACCAGCAGAGAAGGCACTAGCCAGCCTGGGGTCTGAGACCTATGGCTATGGAGGTAGCAGAACAGGACCACTGGCTCCTTGGAAGGCTGCACTGCCCATGGTGTGTCTAAAGCACAGTGTGTAAAACAAGAGATCTTTGGGTGGCCTCACCAGGGAAATGTGCAATGGTTAAGTCCCTTTAACCCTGGCCTGGTCAGCAGGAACAGGGGCTTTGCACTGGAATCCAGAGGTCTGGGGTAGAATTCAGATGTGGTCCATGCATCACAGAGGGGAGAAAGTACATCTTTATTTTCATCAATTTTGCTGCTATTTAGCATTTTCTCCAGAGATGGGTGTGGAGTAGGTTAGTCACTGCTAGAGACTATAGATACTACTACAATGTTATAGTTGCAGATGTCCCAAAATACCATTTAGATCCATCATGAGAGACTGATTAGCCTCTGAGGCTTAACTGCCATCCAGCTGGCTGATGGAGCAGTACAGGCTCCCTGTCCATGAGAGTGTCCCTGGGGGCTGCCTGTGCAGAGGGCCTTGAGCCCCTGGCTCTCTGCATGACTAGCAGAGCAGGCCTCATCCAAACCTAAGTCAGAGCTGTGTGCAGTACGATGGTAGTAATGTGTGGTTTTGTTGTTGATTTTTTTGTCACCTGTTTGTGGCTCATGGTATTGGTTTTCTATTGACTGTAATAATGCAGTTTGCCTTTTCAAAAAGCAAGTTTATTTAAATCACTCTCTTTGAGCAAGTTAATAGTATAGATGCTAATGGTAAGAATTAGTGGTAAAATAGTAGCAAATGTTGGCAAAATGGTAAAAATAGTACACAAGCTAACAGTGAAAATTGCAAGGCAATTGTTGAAATTTGGAAACCTAGCAGTAGCTCTTAGATCATTATGGTAGTCCTTGGAAGCAAGGACCAGAGAGGGCAAAAGGGTTCCTCCCAGAATTCTCCAGCATTTGGCACCAAGATCCCTTTGCTGTGGGGTTGCTTTTGGCAGGGTGAGGGGGACAGGTTGGGATGCCACAGCTGGATAGATTGAGACCCTGCTCTTACACCACAACATAGCTGAGAGCTCACCAGCATTAGTCTTCAGAGCAGGAGCCAGTGGGCACCCCTCCCCTGGGACACACAATTGCTATGTTGGGCAGGGGGATAGCCCAGTGACAGTAATGATCAAGTCCCCACCCTCTGGAGATTCTACACATTGCTCTCTCAGCCTCATCTGCTGCTCAGAAAAACCCATGGCCCTCCAGACATCCCCAGGATAATCCCCCTACCTCCTGTCTTGGAATCCAAGGCTCTCAGTGGCTGGACTCTCCCACCAGACATGTCCCTGCTTCAGATTTCACTGCTGGCCCCTCTGGGATTCATCCTTAATGCTCCAGCCAGAGTGGTCTCTTCTGTTGTGCAATAAGGGTGGACCACTCACCAAACCCCCAGAAATCTCAGCCTGTCATGGTGACTTACACTCCCTGGGGGCAGGGACCTAAAATTGTGTTTGATAGTCTTGCACCTTCCAGAACAGTCACCACTGAGCACAGCTGGCACAGAATGAACTGTGGTGGTGGAGACAGACTCTGCTTTTAGCAGATGAAGCCTATGGTGGGCGCTTGTTGCAAAGGACCCCACCCCAGCCCAGGCTCCTCCTATGATAGCATGGGCAGTGCCACTGGGGCCACACCAGCTTCTCCTGCAGGGCTCAGGCTGCCAAGCCACCGACTCAGCTCCTTCATCACTGTGTTCTTAGCTGCCCCCAGGACTCCAGCTGGCTCTTCAGGGTTCATCATGACATATGCACCTTGTCTCCAGATTAAACAGGTTCAATTCCCTAAAAAGTACATCTTATTAAAGGGCTGGTCAGTTCTCTATGATCTGGGAGAACCTGGCAATTTCAACTTAAGTATTCACCAAGGATTCTGAGTAATTGAGGTTATGTTATACTACCATTATTTCACCAGGTCATAAATAGTTTTGTGCCCTGTGTGGGAGCCCACCCTTAATCTGTTATGTTGTTTCTTTGAGAAACAAAAACAAATAATGTCTTAGCTTGGGCTGCCATACAAAATACTGTACGTAGAATGGGAGGCTTAAATGACAGAAATTTATTCTTCACAGTTTTGGATGCTGAGAAGTTTAAGATCAAGGTGCCTGCAAGATAGATTTTACTCTCAGGCCTCTTTTGGTTGTAGGCAGCCACTTTCTTGCTGTATGCCCACCTGACCTCTTTGTGTGTGCAAAGAAAAATTGCTATGGCTTGAGTGGTGCCTTATGCCTATAATCTTAGCACTTTCGAAGGTTGAGATGGAAGGATTACTTGGAGCCAGGAGTTCAAGACCAGCCTGAGCAACGTAGCAAGACCTTGTCTTCTAAAAAACTAAATTATATTAAAATAGCTGGATATGGTGGCATGTACCTGTCATCCTAGCTACTTGAGAGGCTAAGGCAGGAGGATCACTCGAGCCCATGAGTTTGAGGTTGAAGTGAGCTATGATTATGTCACTTACACTCTAGCCTGGGTAACAGAGCCAGACCATGTCTCTGGAAAAAAAAAAAAGACACTAATCTTATTGGATCAGGGCCCTACTCTTGTGACTACATTATAGTTACTTCTAAAAATCCCCTATTTCCAGACACATTTTCATTGGTGTTAGGGCTTCACCATTCACCATATGAATTTTGTGGGGATATAAACATTCAGACCACAACACATGGCTTATTAAATATATGTGGATTTTTTTCAACCAAACATAGATTGAAGATATAATATTCACAGGATATAAAACCTACATATATGGAGGGGCTGACTTTTATGTGTGTCCCTAAGAGCTGCCTGTGAGGTAAGTATGCATGGATTTGATTATATTCAGGGGTCCTGGAATCAACCCCTCACATATACCAAAGGACAACTGTGTCTCTAATTGAACACACATACTTTAAGTGAATACCAAATAAATATACAGAAAGAAAAGGAGAAAGCAAGAGTTATTTGTGGCAGAAAACTTATAGAGAGGACTAGCTTTCTGTTTCTTTTCCTAGGCCTGACACAAGCACATGAGGAGATAGAGCCTGTGTGGCCCCTTCCTCCAAAGCATCAGAATCATGGACTACAGAGGGACAGCCGCGAGTGAACATATCAGGCTGTAGCTTCATGAGGCCCTGTTGCCCAGACACATGCTGATGATCACAGAGCTCTTGCTTAAAAACTCAAGCTCATAGGACCACAGGAAAAGAAAGGAGATCAAAGACTAATGAGATAAATAAAAAATAACCAGATGACATACTTAAACCTAACTATATCAATAACCACGTTTCATAGTGTTATACAAATGGTCTAATCAGTTAAAAGAAATTGTCAGATTGGATTTAAAATGCAGCAAGATTCAAATACATTTGTTGCTTACAAAAAACATACTTTAAATATAAATTCACAGGCTAAAGGAAAAGGGTAAGGATATACCATCCTAGCATTGATCCAAAGGAAGCTGGATGACTACTAATATCAAACAATATAGATTTCAGAGCAAAACATTATCAGGGCAAAGATGATAATTTCTTAATGGTAAAGTAAGTGATCAACTCATCAAGAAAACAAAATTCTAAATGATTATGTACCTAGTAACATAGTTCTAACATACATGAGGAGGACAGGTGCGCTGAAACACAATAAAACTGGAAAGCCATTGGCCAGACTGATAAGAAGACACAAAGTACCAATAGGTGACATCAGACTAGTCACACGGATATTTAAAAGGTTAAAAAGGAATATTATGAATACCTTTATGCCAATAAATTTGACAGATGAAATGGACAAATTACTTGAAAGACCCAAATTAACCAGAACTTAAGAAATAGATCACCTGAATATTCCTATCACTATGAAATACATTTATTTTATAGTTAAAAACTTTCCCACAAAGAAAACTGCAGGTGTGGATGACATCACTAGGAAACTCTCCTAGATATTTAAGAGAGAAATAATGCTTATTCTACTCAAACTTCCAGACAAATCCTCTTGTCCTCATTCTATGACAAAGACATTTACAAATAAAGACATAGGGGAAAAAAAAACCTAGAGCTCAATATTCTTCATGAATACAAATGTAAAATTTCTAAACAAAATATATCAGACTTAATGCAATAATATATAAAAAGGATAATATCTTGTGACTAAGTAGGATTTGTCCTAGGAATTCAGGGAGGGTTCAGGGAGGCTCAAAAATTAATATAATATTACCAGTTACAATAACACCAAAAAGTATGAAATACTTAAGGATAAACCTGAGAGATGTGAAAGACCTATATAGTATTGCAGAGGGGAATTAAAGAAGACTTAAGTAAATGAACAGATGATGAGTTCATGGGATGGAATAATCAATACTGTTAAAATGTCATTTCTCCCCTAAATGATCTACAGATTTAATGAATCCAAATCTAACTCCCAACAGGCTTTTCTTTTGATAGAAATTGACAAGCTAATTCTAAAATTCATATAGGAATATAATGGCTCAAACAACTTTGAGAAAGAACAAGTCATAGGATTAACTTTGCCTGATTTTAAAACTTACTGTGAGCCTACTGTAAGAAGATTATGTGATAATGACATCAGCAAT